GTGTGTATGTGTGTGTGTGTGTGTGTGTGTGTGTATGTCTGAATATTCTTCTTCTTCTAAGCTGTTTCGGTAATTTGACGTTGTTTGTCGGGTCTTTCTGTAATAAAAGACTCTGACTCTTACCATTCTGCCGGCCTGCATTGTTTTGGTTCCGAACCAGGTTTCTTTGTCTTGGTTCTATTTGGTCTCCCTCTTCCTTTCTTGCCCTTTACCTTTGATGTGTGCGTGTGTGTGTGTGTGCGCGTGCGTATTTGTGTTTGGTAGTATGTGTTTGTGTGTGTGCGTAGATGTGGGTGTGTACCTCTGTGTTTGTGCCTGTGTGTGCGTATGTATGTGTGTACATGTGTGTATGTGTGTGTGTGTGTGTGTTTGTGTGTGTGTGTGTGTGCGTGCGCATGTTTTCCGGGAAAAGAGAGAAAGCAGCGTAGGACTCTGAAGGATACTTCGTCCCCTAGTGTCTGTAAGTGTATGTGTTTAACGCCCCTATAGAGGCCACTACCTCCAAATTTAACGTCGGTCTCCGATATGACCAAGCCAAATGAGTTGAGAGCCTTGAAAACTCCACAAAACAACCCGAGTTCAAGAATACCCAGTCGGGGATTCGAACTAGTGAAATCCACTCCGTAGTCCAGCATAATACCAACAACTGAGCTAACGTAGCGCCCCGTCGTTCCCTGTGTCATCGAGACATCTTCAAAGGATCCCGCCGACATTTCACGAGCAGAGACCTTGGCAATCTTTATGAGGTCACGCTTGAAGGTTCTTTTAGAAACGTCGTAACAATGTTAACTTTACAACAGGGGACTCGAACTCGAATTACTCCAGGGGCCGCGGGGGGTAGGGTCTGGGTGAGCCTGGGTCGCATAAAGTATTCTATAAAAAGAAAAATTTTCAAGTATCGTTTTAAAAGAAATGCTCAATCTTTATTAATACATTAGCAGTTCAGAACATTTACGGTTCTTCAGAACATAGCTTGCTACCAAAGACCTGGCAGTGCTTCTTCGTACATAGCTCCAGCCACTTTTGATTTAAGGGAGGGACGCACTAACACTTAACTTTGATGTCAAGAGGGGTACACAAAATGTCGCTAAAAAGAGTTAAAGTGAAACAGACAAAAAAAGGGGGAGATGTATTTCTTTTAAACAATAAATTAACCAAATAAGTCTTTCGGAAGATCAGATGTGTTACAAAAGAGCAACACAAAAAAAAAGAAAAGGAGCAAAGATAAGGACCCTAGATGTTTTTTCTTAGAAAAGCACACAAAAAACAGTCAAAACCCAGGAGAATTTCTCACCTTTCCTCCTCCTCACAAACACAGTGTTTCCCATTGACAAACGTCACTTTTGCTGGACAGGTTTATAATCAAGTCGGGTCAATAATAATGTCAAAATACGTTCCAGTTACCATACTATGGTGAGATCATAAGTGCCTGAAGTAGAATGATTATCTAAAGGAAGTATTGTTATTGCGACGACTTTAATCGCATCAAGAATTTCCAGAACATATTCAAGTATCTTGACTTCATCCCATCAGACATTTGAAAAAAAACAAATGCAGGTTTGTGTTTTAGGGATTAAAAAAAGAGTAATGCCAATAACAATGTCAAGATACATGCCCGTTATCAGATGACATCGTAAGTACACGAAGAGTACGGCTGCATAAAGAGTGTCCCTACCTGAGTTTAATCCGTGTCAAGAAATAAATCACCATAAAACCTTTCCCGAAAACCGATCAGCGCTCTCACAATGTCTCAAAGCTCCCACATTGTCTTAAAGCTCTCACAACGTTCTGGAGGAACAAATTTGACTGGTCCTTAATGCCTCGGACGTCACTCAATAAATCCAGAGGAAGCATAAACCACGGGGAACGAACTCTATCCCAGGCTCTGCGACTAGGAATGGCGGGTACGTACGTGGTCGGAACAGAGTGAGGGAGGGTGGGAGGGAGAAGGGAGAGGGGGGGGAGGAGAAGGGAAGAGAGGGGAGGAGAAAAGGGGCAGAGGGAGATCATACATCCGCGTGAGGGTGGAAGACTCGCAGACGAAAAGTGTACTAGATCGACTGTCGTCAGTGATCACTGCCCTGACTTGAAGTGCGCGCCGTGTCCCCAGCGGGAAGTGGGCGCGAGCGGCGCGATAAAATGACGCGACGACAAGCGGCTGTTGGTGACGGTGGCGGTGCGCCGGGCGTTCATCACGGGTTTAACGTGGACTCGCAGTATTGAAGCGATGACATGAAGACAGAAGGGCACAAATTGTTGTTTTCCCCGTTGTTTGTTTTGTTTCTTTGAAGTTTTTTGTTTGTTTGTTTGTTTGTCTGTTGTTTTTGTGTTGTTGTTTTTTGTTGGGTTTTTTTGGTGGGGGGGGG